ATTATACGAATCTGTGTGGCTCAGTAGCTATGGCTGGTATTTAGGTGTAAGTAGTAGTTGTAACACTACACGTCGAGTAAACGCCTTTAGTTTGAAAGAGTCAGCTTTTGCAAAACCTGATTCAGCTAGTAAACCTGAATTTTCGTTTAACAGTGATGGGGAAATACCATCACTATATTTTATTCGCTGTTTAACGTACGAAAAGAATCTCTTCGAACAAGTACGGCTATCATATGCCAACTGTCGTTCGTAAGTGGTACGGGATTTATCTATGGTCTTTTCATATATATTCTGGATTTTTTGTATTCGCACTTAGATGGTGCCTGTCCTGTTGACAAGAATCAGTCCCAGAAGTGTTTCATACGCTTCAACAACTTCCGGATTTCCTTATCAATCTATGGAGGGCAATGTGATAGCTTACGTGTTGACCATGGGATAAACGGTTGTGTTACAAACTCGTATTTCATGCATCTTCCATGGATCCATCAGCATCGACCAACCAGTCAAGCAAAATGTCACAGAATCTGAGTGCAGGAATATTAGCTCTCCAGATATTAGGGTGGGGTGGAGCAGATGCGAATTCTATACCACGTGTCCGGAAATAAAAAGAAAGTACAACGTGGTCACTATTAGGGGAAGGTGTTGAATGTCGACGACATCTTCACAGTGGTATGTGAGGACAAGGTCTAGCAATGACGAATCAAGTTCCAAGTCACTATGTGTCAGTTATACGATACATTAAACAAGTGCACACTGAATAATTGTTGATAGAAGGTCGCTATCGAAACTCTCACCTGGAGCTGTGAGCTCTATACAGTTGATATGTGGTGCGTTGAAGTCTCCAACGATGAGACAACAACTCTAAGAACAGGTGTGTCTTGTGATAAAGTCGTCAGCAAGACAACACAGACTACGATTTATTCCTCCTATAGTCATTAACCTGTTTCTAGACCTAATTGTACAACATGCTACCTAACATGTACCCGTAATATGTGCCTCCAATATGACCGATTGTGTGCGAAAGTTATCTTTAACATACAACATTATACCCCCTCCCTTGTGACTTATAACTCTATCACATGTGATACAGATGTAGCCTGTAGTGATGGGAGAACAGTCTATATTCACAGTGAGCCAAGTTTCTGTGACAACAATTATATTGGGATATAATTCATCCACTATCAAACTTAGCTCGGACACTTTATTTCAAAGACTACGGGCATTCGTGTAGCACACATTTAAGGTGTTTTGAGAATCATACGTTCTACCCATACATGTCTCGGAAGCGTTGGCTTCCGAAACCTGATTATCCGAAAACCCTTAATCGTAATGTTCGTTTTTCCATTTGGCTTTCTAGTTCTGAACTCTGTAAGAGCATTCCTCCAATAGATGTTGTAAGATCATCTTCGTTGATGATCTATGTCAAAATGATTGGGGGCCTACTAGAGTTAAACGAGAATGGGGACGAACCAACTAACGCTGAAGTCACACCTCGCGACCAGCCCTTACGTGGATTGAACCATCGACGCATCAAAGGATAATAGATGCTATGGAGACTGTACAACACAAAGGACGTTATTACAAGAATATATTAGTTAAGGTACAACTACGGAAGTACAGAAGTGAAAGAATAACCACTGCAGCGTGGGCCAGTCCATGGCGTACGATTGGTTTTGTGCGCGTTGACTATCCTTGACCTTGACAGGGATCAGTGATCTGTTCGATATTCAGTGACCCTACAATGTCATCCTCAAGCGGCCAATCTGGTAGAATACAAATATTTGAATCACGAGTTTTGTATGTGTTATTCAATATCACGTCTCTTTCCTCAAAATTCCTGAGTACTAACTTCAAGATCCTTGTTTGTTGGGCCTCGCCTCCAACCCATTTACCGAGTCTTGTTACTTTCGTGATATGTACCCCTGAAACCTCTTCAGGCAGTACATTTCTGATGACAGGTTCCAATCACTGCAGATAGTGTGCGTGTCATTTAGCAGTGTCATTGTCTTCCGACGATTCTAGATTCCAAACAAATAAACTAGGAACGTGTTTAACTTATTTAAAAGTCATGTTCACGGTGATGTAAGATCCTACTTTGATCAAATAAATCAAGCCAAAGTCGACCAAGAATGCTTTGATGTAGTAAATACACAAAAGCAAGATCAAAACACACAAATACAACGACACTTAAACTGAATTCATTTCGCTTAAAAAGTAAACAGTAGTTTTGATGCGTAATTTACGATCAAAATAGTGAATTTAACTTAACGAGAATCGAATATGACAAACGTCTGCTGGAAGGATTAACTCGCTCTACGCGTCTTGGATTCTCTCATATCCTGATTCTAGGGGATTTCAATCTCCCTAGAATCAACTTCGTGGAACATACATACATTGGTGGTGCCAACTCTACTGAAGCTCTGTTCTTCAACCTTATCGGCGACCTGGGATTATTTGAAAATGTGAAGTCGGCAACCCGTTGGAGAAACAGTCAGACGCCGTCACGCTTAGACTGGGTATTCGCAAACGAAGAATTCCTAGTTGACGACCTCTCAATCCTGGCTCCCCTGGGCAAAAGTGATCACGCCGTCTTATCATTTAGCTTTGTCAGCAAGACGGAGCTACGATATCCTACTAGCAACAAGCGCTGGAACTTCAAACGGTTGAATGTGTTAGCTTTACAGGACTATCTTCAACAGGTGGATTGGGATGTTCGCCCTGAAATTGAAGTGGATGCTCATTGGGATTTTTTACTGCACACGATCTTATGTGCTACTGAGCATTCAGTTCCCAAAATGGTCCCAAAAAGCTACAAGCAACCTGCAATCATCAAGAACCGCACTCGTCGTTTGCTAAGCCGCAAAAGGCACTGTTGGGCTGAATATAAACGAACGGATAACAACGGCGCGTACAGGCAATACAAACATATAAGGAACACATGCACAAAGGCAATAAGAGAAGACAGGCTTCAGTTCCAGACCAAGCTTATCGATAGATTCGTCTCCAATCCGAAAAGCTTGTTCAGTTATGCAGCTTCTCTTCGACAAGGCAAAACTGGAGTTTCCCAACTGCTTGGTCCTAATGGCCCGACCAACAACGACAGTGATGCCGCTAACCTTTTGGCTGAACATTACTCCCGGACACTCCAACTGACCCACATTAACCATACTGACGAAAGCTTCACCTGCACCTCTACAGGACTTTCCGAAGTGAACCTGAGTGCTGACTTGGTGCTCCGTAAACTGCAGAACCTAAAAAAAGACACTTCTCCTGGTCCGGACATGGTTCATTCCGCCGTACTGAGGGAAGCAGCTTCAATCCTGGCGACACCACTTAGCGTGATGTTTGCACACTCGCTAAGCAGAGGAAAACTACCGGAAATATGGAAGCTGGCCCACATCACACCAATTTTCAAAGGAGGTCGACGCAGTGAACCCTCAAGCTACCGACCAGTGGCCCTTCTCTCCATACCTTCAAAAATTATGGAATCCCTAGTATTCGACGGCATACTTGATCACTTATCATCCTTAAAGTTCTTATCGCCTCAACAGCATGGTTTCAGAAAAAGTCATTCTTGTACGACCAACCTGCTGACTGCGGTGGATAAATGGACAACCATCCTTGATCGCAAGGGGAAGGTTGACGTCATTTACCTGGACTTCTCAAAAGCTTTTGATAGGGTCAACTATGCATGTCTTATCAAGAAGCTTGGACGATTGGGTATAAAACCCTCTTTAATTGACTGGATCACTTCATACCTAGAAAACCGACATTTTAAGGTCAGGGTTAACTTCACTCTCTCTCAGGCTATGGAATGTCCTAGTGGGGTCCCCCGGGGCTCAATACTAGGACCTCTTCTCTTCTTGATTTATATTAACGATCTTCCTCAACAAGTTTCATCTGATTTATTGCTTTTTGCTGATGATGTGAAACTTTGGAGGGAGATACGTACGCACAATGATATACTAGTTCTGCAGGAGGATCTGACTCGACTTCAAAGTTGGGCAGACGACAACGGACTTACCTTCATTACTTCAAAGTGCAAGGTAGTCCATCTGAGACATGTTGCAGACTATAGTTATAACTTAGGTAACTCCCCTCTAGAAGTTTCGCAAGTTGAAAAAGATTTAGGAGTGTTGGTACCCTACGACCTGAAATCGTATGCGAACTGTGACAAAAACGCCTCTCAAGCAAACCTTGCACTGGTAACATTGAAGCGCATTTTTGGCCAGTTTGACGGTAGAACCTTCCATATAATCTTCAACAGTTTTATTCGTCCCCACTTAGAGTACGGAAACATAGTATTTCCTCCCTCCCTCCAAAAGGATAAGGTCACTCTGGAACGTATACAACGTCGAGCCACGAAATCAGTTCGGGGTCTCAAATTCAAACCTTATGAAGAGCGCCTCAAATCACTTAACCTTTACCCGTTAGAGTATAGGCGTCTTAGAGGTGATCTTCTTATGACTTATAGTATCCTTAATACTTCTGGTCATCCCCTTAAACAACTTCTTAAGCTTAGTCATAACACTAATCTCAGAGGTAACACCCAGAAATTGGAGACCCTACATAGCAGAACAGACTGCAGACACAACTTCTACTCCGTTAGAGTTGTCAAGTGCTGGAATTCGCTGCCGACTGAGCTAGTCCAAGCGACCTCCCAGGAGTCCTTTAAGAGAAAACTTGACTTATTCTTAAGGACTAAGGATAACATATTATTATGATTTACCAAATTCTTTTTTTCCTCTATTATCGTTCATATACCTAGGTTTTTGCCTGGAGGTATTGGTGATCCACTGCTACCAGACACGGAAGCCCGTTAAGCGAAAGCTTCTTCTATTCCGTCCTCAACCATTTGAACCATTTGAATACCACTGTCCTCTTTAAATACTTTATCCCCTTAGTTTCGGACGAATTAAAACAGTAATTCTTCAGCAGCACAACTGTGTATTACCCTTTAAAACCATATTCTAGTTATAAAAGGACTAATAGTACGTCACTTATGACCAGTTCAGTTTCAGGTTTAAAGTCTAATATCTTTTCCTATCTTAAGTTACCTGTACTCTAGGGCGGTTTTCTTACGGCGCTTCTTTTGACCTTAGTACGTCTCGAGGGATTAATGATTTGTAAAAACATCTAATTCTGGATATATGCGTGAATTTCTATAAGCTAACACTGTTGTCTAATCACCAAAAGTGATAGAATTGGTCCTATAGATATAAAGATTGGTTATGAGTCTCTTTACAAGTCCACCTCCAGTTGTGAAACGACTTATAAGTTATATCAAAGAAGGTTCAGACAAAGAAGAAAAATGGAAGGAAAAGGCTGTCAAATCGTTAGTCAAGAGGTTGAAAAACGGGACACAACTAGACGAACTGGAACGTGCCTTAGTTAGCCAAGATCCATCTACACGCTGTGTTACAATACCGCGTTCATTGGATGGACGGCTACAGGTAGGTTTGTGTGTCTGAGACTGTTTGAATATACAATTTGAGGTAATCAGTAAGCCGTTTTCTCAAGGGTAATTTCATTTCAAAAGTAAATGCTTTTTTGTAAATAACGTTCTAACAGCTACATTATGCTATTAAGGGGGCCTCAATTAACATATCACTGAACTAAAACTGTCCATTTAGTTCCTATTCCCAAGCTTAAAACAACTTAATCTAAGAGTATAGCCCAGAAATTCAGGGAAAGCCTTGTAAAGTGTAGTTTTTAACCATAAAATCACAATAGTGTCTGTTTATGGATGAATTAGAAAAGTATGCTGGAACAGATTGCACAATTGTGTAAAACTGTTATTCAGCCATTTAGTTACTGCAAAATCAGTCAAACCTGTCATTTAATTAGTGTTTTTGCTCGAATTTTCCTTGACGCACTCCCAGCTGAAAGTAAATACTATGATTCTATTTGATGTGTCTTATTTATTGCTCCAGTTCACCATAAGGTAGTGAAGTATTTGTGACAGTGACCAGGTAAGTATGTCAAAGTTCACGTGGTTTTTGCTTGATAACAATAAAAAGATGAGTTTCAGGCTTTGTAAATAATAACGTACGAATAAAGCCTGTTGACAGGCGTCGTGTATTAAATATTTGATACTTAGCATACTTGGTGGTCAATTATCTCGAGATATTTAATCTAATAGTCATTAAAATTAGTGTACCAACCCACTTAATACTCAGTGACAACACTTTATCGGCTGGATAGTTTCCGGAAGATACGCAAGTAATATTTGCTACAGCGAAATCAGGTATCGGTCTGCAGTGAAATAATTTTTATCAGCAGGACTCAGAGATAATATGAAATACGGCGGACCACTGTCAGTCAAGCGAGGAGTAGTGTGGTGATTTAGGAAAAATATCCGGAAAATAAATGTCTGTCCTTCATTTTATAATCAACGACTTCTCGACCTCGAGTATGCGGATGATATTGTCTTACTGTGCGATAATGCTTAAGCCATGCAATTCGCACTTAATCAGTTGGCAATCAGTGTCCGCAGGTACGGCATGTGCTTTGCACCCTCCAAGTGCAAAGTATTCCTACAAGACTGGCAGGATTCTCATCCTGTACTCACCCTGGATGGTGAGCAGATTGAAGTAGTATCGTAGTTCGTGTATCTAGGTAGCTATATAAGTGCTGGTGGTGGCGTGAGTGATGAGATTGATGCACGTATAATGAAAGCCAGAACGGCTTATGCCAATCTGGGCCATCTTTGGCGCCTTCGTGATGTTAGTCTGGCTGTAAAAGGTCGGATCTACAACGCGTCGGTGAGAGCAGTTTTGCTCTATGCTTGTGAAACCTGGCCTCTCCGAGTTGAGGATGTTAGACGTCTCCCTGTGTTCGATCATTGTTGTCTCCGAAGGATTGCTGACATCCAGTGGCATCGTGTGTTCGGGCGCAGGGATGATAATTCAATTGGTGTCTCCATCTTGAAACACCGACTTCGGTGGCTTGGACATGTTTTACGAATGTCGTCCCAGAGGCTTCCACGTCGTGCATTATTTGCCGACCCTGGGACTGGTTGGAAAAGGCGGAGAGGAGGTCAGTGTATGACATGGTGTCGTGGCATGAAAGAAAGCTGCAAAGGGCTAGCTTCTGTTGGTCCTTCACGACTCCCTGGCTGTGGTCCGAGAGATGGTGCAACACAGTGGCTAGAGACGTTATCAGATATGTCCCAGAATAGAAGCCAGTGGCGATCCTGCTGCAACCTTTTTTTACTTTCTACATAAAGAATGGTTCTAACTTTCTTAACTGAAAGAGTCTTCTGGTTGTACATTTCAGTCCACCTTATATTTTCATCCCTTCTCTTGCTACTTTCATTATTTTGTGTGGCGCATATGTATCTGGTGCTCTTTTGTACCAATATATATGTGTTTAAATAAATAAGAAAACTACCTCCCGAATTTCACAGCAGCAGCTTGGGGCCCCCCTGTTTCGTCACTTTTGGTCACCTCCAGACTTCCTGACCTATTCTTGACACTAACGCATCAGTGTGAGCGATAACCGGGGATGATTTAACCATGTAATTATCACTCCGCCCGCCATGTTATCAAAACCTCGATAGGGTTGTAATTTCTACCTACCTTTTAGTTTCAGAGATTGTATTTACTGTGATAAGTTAATTAAAAACGACCTAATGCATATATGCTGAGTCTAATTGTTTCTGTAATTAATGTAATGTGTCCTTAATCAAACGGCTATATGTGCCAAGTTTTTGTCACCCAACAGAGTAATACCGGTTTCTTTAATAAGTCTGAATAGCTGTCTGCTGTTACCTATTGCCGCTGCCTTTTCCATCTCTCTTGCTTTCGCTACCCACCGCTTTTCACGATCATTGCGTAGGCTTCTTATTAGCCTTCGCTTAAGCTGACTCCGCTCTTCGTTATGTTCAGAGCCAGGTGGGATGAGTTTTCGAGTATCTATCAGTGCGGTAGATGCTGCCGAGATCCATTGTTTCTCCCTAACCTTATGGATATCACTGCTGTTTCCACAGCTTTTCGGATGTCATTACACGCTGCCTCGAGGTGGGCACAACTTACATGTCTGTCAAACTGTTTTACCAGTTGTTCCTGAAATATATTCTTAGCTTGCTTATCATTACGTAGAACCCTTAGAGGATTCCTTGCAGTGTCTTTCCTACGTCCAGTAAGATGCAGACAGATACGTGCTCGCACTAGAGCATGATCTAAGTCTAAACATGTGCCCCAGAATGATCGAGTCTTCTATGGAGCCCCTCCACCGGTGGCTGATAGCGATGTGATCTAATTGGGTCCAACGTTGGGACGAATTCGGGGGTCGCCATGTCAAAGAATGTTTTTCCTTATGCTTAAAGTTAGTATTTGCAAGAAATAGGCGGTTATCTGAGCACAGCTGCAACAGACGGTCGCCATTATCTGTTCTTTTAGCCACGACACCATAAGATCCACCCAGGTGTCTTTCCCTTTCACTTAGTTTACCTACTTGAGCATTAAAGTCACCAGCCACTATTATTACATCAGAACGCCTAGCTTTTCGGAGAAGGTCAGAAAGTTTCCTGTAAAACTCATCTTTTATATCGTCTGAGCTGCAGTCAGTGGGGGAGTAGGCAGAGACAACGAAGAGGCAACGACGAGTTTCCCTATCTTTCCGAGTCCTTACTGATCCGTTTAGTCGGACAGCGCATAGACGACTGTCTACTGGGATCCAGTCTAAAAGAGCTAGTTCTGACCTAGGACTTAATGCTATACCTACTCCAGCAAGGCCACGGGAAGCAGCATCAGTGCTTCCAGATACACGAAGCGTGTGTCGAGATGAAACTTTATTTTGATTAGGTGAAGTCAAATGAATGACACTACTCGGATCTTGTATACGCGTTTCGGAGACGCAGCACACATCGATGGTGTAAGATTCTAGAGTCCTAGCTAAGTAAGCCTGTTGTCCTATTTGGCACAATGTTCGGACATAAAAGTTCCTATATGTAGTTTAGAGCGTGGTTTCAGGAGACCAGGAATAACGTTCCGTGTACTTGAATCGTTTGCCATAGCGGTGCGAGGTGATAAAAGGACGTGGGAAGGGTTAGTCGTGGAGATAAGAGAGTTGTTATTAGGTGTAGGAAGGATTTGAAAGTGACCAACTTGGTCTCGTGTGCAGTTACGGGCATGAGGGCTAATATCACTTCCCGGCTGCCCACACCGTAGAAGGGCATTTCTTGAGGGACCTGAAAAAAAAGTTGAATTAGTGTTGGTCTTAACGACCTGGGAGCGTGACCGCAGTGCCCAAGGGACATCTGCTTGAGGCCGGTCACGCACGGCCTTTTTGTGGGGGATTTTTGACGTGTTAGCTCCGTTCTTCAAAAAAAACCTTACCGCCGGAGACGGAAATCCGTGGGATAAGGCGAGGTGTGCATTTTTAGGGTCGACCTTTTCTAACCCCACCCCTCCTTGTGGGAAGGCAGCATCGCTGTCATGCTGGTTGTCTGAAGGAAACACCTTACTGCCGTCACACCTCTGTACAGTCGGCATTACGACTTCGCCTTCGGACCTTGGTATTGCTGCTTTTAGTTTTACCGCTCTTCAACCGACCTGTCTGGTATGGTAGGACCTCGAGGAACAATTGTTCCAGCCAGCATAGCTCGATTGCTTCATCACGATAGGCAAGCCCGACCACCACGTCAAGGTAGCAGCAACGGTCGGGTACGAGAAAATCAGTCTGGCTTCAGACCTGGTCGTGGCTGCATCGACCACATATTCACTATTCGTCAGGTTTTAGAGCACAGACATGTTTATCGGCGTCCGACAATGATAGTTTTTCTTAACTTGAAAGCAGCATTTGACTCTGTAGGTCGAGATGCTCTGTGGCAGTGTCTGTCACTGAAAGGTGTACTTAAGGAGTACATAAACCTTGTGAAGGCTCTCTACTCGAACACTACCAGTCGAGCGAGAGATTATGGCGAACTGTCATCTGATTTTGCAACCCCAAGTGGTGTCCAACAAAACTGTCCACTATCCTCATTTTTGTTTAACTTCATTATAGACCTGTTGCTGGAAATAACACTCTCGTCGACTGAATTTTCAGGAATCGATCTCCTACCAGAGGGTCCACTAAGCGACTTAGAATACGCAGACGACATAGTCCTGTTTTGTGAAGACGCTGGTAAAATGCAGTCTTCTGTTGGAACTGCGTAATAATGCCAGGATGTTTGGGATGCGTTTCTCCCCATCTCAATGTAAATTGTTACCCCAGGACTGGCCTGCATCAACACTTGAACTAAGGATAGGGAGTGAAGTAGTCGGACGCATCAACAACTTCACTTATCTCTGAAGTCTGATCAGCCCTAATGGGTTGGTGTCTGACGAAATCTCAGCACGGATTCAGAGAGCTCGTTCGACTTTTGCCAACTTACGTCACCTATGGCGAAGACGAGATATCCGTCTATCAATTAGCGGGCGAGTATACTGCGCAGTAGTTCGATCTGTTCTACTTTACGACTGTGAAACAGCCATCAAGAGTAGAAGATACTCGTAAGTTACTAGTATTTTATCACAGATGCCTTAGAAATATTGCTTGCATCTGCTGGGATCACCGGGTAAGTAATAGTGAGGTTAGACACAGGGTGTTAGATAATGATAGTAAATCAGTTGATGAGGTCATTAATCTTTATCTACTGAGATGGTTGGGTCACATGTTACGTATGTCTGAACACCGATTACCACGACGGGCAACGCGGACTATACGGGATGGTTGGAAGAGAGTTGGGGGCGGCTAAAGCAAAACATGGCATCAGTGCTTGAAGTCACTAACTTCTAGTGTGAGCCATGTTGGTAGATGCAGACTACTTGGTTGGGGTCCGCGTGACTATCGTAGCCGATGGTTGGAGACTCTGTGTGACATGGCTCAGAATCTATCACAATGGCGTAGGTGTATACACTCTTTGTCTTCCCTTAAACCGTGAGATTAAAATCGCTTCATATTTGTCTTCCTTCCTGTACTGTATTCTTATATACAACCTTTCTTTTATGTATTACCACCACTAAATTAATTATTTCTATGAATCCGGTGTTGATTTTGTTGTGCTAACGACGTATGGCTACCGATGGATAAATGTGCCTGGTACTACGTTGTAGCTAACTGACTGACTATTTGTCACTCATGGCGTTTTAAAAAAATTTTCCAATCTGGCAGGACATCAATTACTTAGAAATCGAGCGATGGTAATTAAGTCTCGGAGGAAGCAAGATCAAGCTGCATTGAGATAGTAGACGCAAATAACAGTTCTTAGTACATTCCGACCGAATAAGTAATATCTCGCTTAACAACCTTCAGCAGATTGACCTACTTTAGTAAATCCCTCAGTAACACTGTCGGAAATCCTATCAATCGACCAAGTGAAGTTCTGCCTCCACAACATGGAATACAAACATTGCAACCCTTAAGGGTCTCACTTGTTTTTTGAATGGATTTGTTATTGAATAACTGAAGCGAGTATATTCTTACATCTTTTGCCCTATGTCAGTAATTCATTAATCTATATTGACCGGGTTATACATGCTCCTCAAATACTATTTGGATTATTTGTTTAAATAGTTAATATCCTTTTCAATAATTACTGTGTCGACCATTGTAAAAACAAACTCTTTTAACTATCTAACTTTAACTATTACCAGTTACTTATCGACCTAAATGACTATCATCCCTTTAATGCTTCATTAACTTATTGCTGACTTATTAATTTTCTAAGTAAAACCAACCAGATACAATGGATCTATTAGATTTCGGTGCTATTTGATCCAAACTTTCTTGTCCCATAAACTAACTTTCTACTTAGTTTAAGCTTCAGTAAGCTCTATACCGAAAAGTATGTCAGGTTTTCAACTGACCATTCAGGAAAATTACTTACTGTTAACCGATTTCGTACGTTCGATGCTCAATATATGCGTGAATGTGAAGGTTTGTGAAACTGATTAGTAATATTCTAAATTGTTTCACAATTAATCATCATGTTATACTAGGTAAGAAACAGTGAGCAATCAAACTTTAACTCTTGATTACGTCTTGGATACATAACATACAATCATAACCGACGAACAAAGCCAGTTATCTAAAATGGTACGAAACGTAAAATGAATCAATAGCGAGCTATTTCGTCAGTTAACGATTAATGGGTTAGTTCATAAAATCGTTGGATTCATGGCTAGGTCAGTTGAATAATTTGTATTAACTAGTTCATAGTTCTTTCAATAAATATTTCTGTGTCTGTCTGTCTCTGCATTCCTTTTTCTTAATTGTGACTATGCAGTTTTCAAATATTTGATTTTTGTATATTATTGAGTACTGATCGTTAAGACTAGAAACCTACATTACTCTGGTCTGTCATAATGAAATGTTATGAATTTTTATGGAATTTAGATCATATGCCTCGTTATTTTATACATGGTTTTAGATCTTCAACGGTTAGGTCGTAATTTTCGTGTTGCTATTAGATACATTAACCATTTTCTTTCACACGTTTTTATTTGCTTTTGATTTTCACTAGGTTGCCCAGAAAAAAGGTTTACCACACGTTTTTTACTGCCAACTTTGGCGATGGCCAGACCTGCATACTCAGCACGAGTTAAGACCTATCGCTACTTGTGAATATTCTTTCCAATCAAAACGCGATGAGGTTTGTATCAACCCTTATCACTATCGAAGGATTGAAAATCCAGGTTTGTTTAAGATGTTTTATTTCCATTCTCAACATTAGTTGCTATCTTCGTAAGAATTTGTTTATCTCCTGACGGAATCGTTCTCAGTGCACTCTTGAGCTACCGAAGTGCACTCTGAAATAGAGTCGGTTTAAAGTGATAGTTTTAAAAAGATCATTTTCATGACTACCCCACGTAAATGTCGTTCTGTTAATTTGTTATGGGTTTTATAGTTCTATGAAGACCGACATTTGTGTTCCTAGTGTTTTTATCGTAATTTATTGTAACTATGGTTCATTACTTGCATCATCATCAGTAGAACGTCACTAAAAACCAGCCATTGTTTTTTGTTAAACTTTCAAAATAAACTAACGGAAAGAAAACATATGTAGAATATGTTCATCGACTTCTTAAGTTTTCAGTTTTTCTTTTCATAAATGTCTATTGATCCAAAGTTAGCACAGGATATACTTCTGTATTGAAATGATGATTAATTAATTTATCAAGCATGATATTATATGAAAAATACATTCAATAAGTCAGTGGTTTTCATTTTCGGATCTTTTGAAACGCTTTTTCTGTCCAGTCCTAGTCAACAAATAACATACTATATTAAAGCAACTAAAACTAGAGGCATAAAATATGTGATAGCTATCGATGTCGGTATTTCAAGACAAAGGATATTTGTAGGTTACTAGCGTTTAATCATAGATTTCTTCGAAGCACTGCCCACCTATGTTAAGAAATCCATCTAACTAATGGTAAGATCGGGCAGGGGTACCACGTAAAAATGGGTAATCTGTTGATTAGGACATAAATATTCGTGAACTGGGATGGTTTGAATATGTGTTACGTATCTCTAATCATTATCTACTTCGACTTGCAGTGTTGTATGGTTTAGGGGTAAGCTTTAAAAAGCATGGGGGTGATCAAATTAAACTTTGGCATCAGTCTATGAATATCTACAGCTGAACTGAACCATATTGATAGGTTAAGAATATTTAGTTAGAGTCCGCACGATTATCGTGACCAGTGGTTAGGGAGGTTAGGTGACATGGATCAGATGTATTCACTCTTATTTATTTAAATACATAAACATTGGCACAAGCGGGCACCAAATGCATATGCGCCACACAATAATAGTGAGGCCAGTAGTAGTTATCATTGGTAGGTTTAAGGGCTATGATACTGCCCGAGTGGCCAAACCGAAGCAAGTGCTTTTCTTAGGAGGACACATCAACAGTATTTGACCTAGACGTCTAATCCACAAGGCAGTGGAGCAAGTTTAGGAGATCCAGTCCCATGATAGCCGGTGACCAATAATAGGTTCATACGCCTTTTGTTCCCTCAGGATCCTGTAGCCCATGTGCACCATCGGTTTAGAATCAGGGTTTTGCAACTTTCCTAGGTGAACCTTCGCCCTCAAATGCCCTGATACGGCCGAGAGTGGGGAGAGTCCGCTTTCCATCCTCTCGATTTCGTAAACAGCACTCCCGCTGCGAGAAGGCAGTGAGTAGGACTTCCCTGATAGCGGTTGTATACACGTGGCTATGTGAGAGGATTTCGAGAGAGAGCTGACTCTCCCCACCCTCAGCCGTATGAGGGCATTTGATGTTGAAAATTATCTTGTACTTTTTATTCCGCTAATTAATTATTTGTCTGTTCCTATTGTTTTCTACTATGGAATTTACCTTTGGTTTTGTCTCTTTACTCTGATATGATATATCAACTTGAACCGACGCACATATTTTCCAGGTTCTACGGTACATGTGATTAACTGACTTTACTAAGTCTAGAAATACGCTGGTAGACCTCAGCTCTGTTTACATGATTTTTCTGTCTTTCAATAGTAATCAAATACATACTTTGTAAATATGGTTACCCAGAAATCGCCATGTTTTTCGACTGTACAGAATTACTATCCTCCACAGCCTTTTTCACCAATATGTTTAGTATTCAGACGAATGTGCTTGTCTTTCCAGTAGGAAAATGTGACTTGAGTCTTCTCCGTTATATTACTATTCATACTAACAGAGCTACTCATATACACGAACTTCTCGACTATTTACAACTGCTCATCATAGAAAGACAAGCAGAAAAAGCAGGTCAACTTCTCACGCATTTTACATGGTCTGAGCATTATGATGTGATAGTTAGTACTTTGAACACAATCACTGACAGACTTACAACCTTACGAGTATCACATGCATTATATGCATATAGGTTTTGTATGTTGTACACTCTTCATCTGTATTTCTAAATTTTTACACTAATTATCCGCTTACTTTTTGTATCATTTGATATTAAATTCTCTATTATTTGTTAAACATTAGAATTCCATTCCGCCCACTCTGTACAGACTTACACAGTCAAGGTTACATCATACAACCGTTAAATATTCATTCATACTTTTATCATGAACCATGACAATCCAAAAAATTGTTATCAAGTCTATTTGGTTACTTGGAATGTTTTTCGAAATAGTGTTATCTCATGTCAAACGTTTTTAAATAAATAATACTCAAAAACTTATGATTGTTTACATTTTCATTTCACACTAAAAAGTTTCTTCTCAATATAACTATTTTCAGTAGCTAAACCCGAGATATTAACTTGTGTATTTCGGATAAAAGCTGGTTATTAAACCTAACAGGCGACTGCCAAAAATCTAACCTATTAAAATCGACTAGCATTTAATTTCAACCAGTATGTGACAAGTCTGATGCTTACTCCAAATGCATCAGTGTGAACTGCCAGTTAGTACTACAAACTCTCACGTAAACTACTGTACTCAAAAGCTGTGTATATAAAGCAAACTGGAGAAGTTCATTGTCATTGTGAGTTTAGTTATATCTGTCTGTGGAATTTCTCGCTTTCTGTAGTATATTATCAATAAGCCTTATTTATTTATTTAAACATAAACGTTGGTACAAGGGGATACCAATTGCTCATGCGCCACATAAATCATTCAATTTATGTGAGGACTGTGACACTGCCGGGTGCCCAAACCGAAGCAGGCGCTTTTCTTAGGGGGACACATCCACAGTATTTGACCTAGACGTCTAATCCACAAGGCAGTGAAGCAAGTTAAGGAGATTCAGTCTCATGGTAGCCGGTGACAAACAATGGGTTCATACGCCTTTTGTTCCCTCAGGATCCTGTAGCCCATGTGCACCATCGGTTTAGAATCAGGGTTTTGCAACTCCGTGTCCACTAACCCGGTTAAAGCGCCGGACACTCGCTTTCCATCCTCTCGATTTCGTAAACAGCACTCCCGCTGCGAGAAGGCAGTGAGTAGGACTTCCCTGACAGCGGTTGTATACACGTGGCCATGTGAGGATTTCGAGAGAGAGAGATCTGGTTCTCCCCACTCTCGTTTGTGCCAGGGCATTTGGGGGTTATCAATGATCCTTGACTTCAGTTATGTGTCACGATGAATGCTATTTTTGATAAATTATCTTTATCTCATTACTAAACTCGTGAACAAAATTTAAATTGGTAGTAGTTTCATTACATAATTTTATTGTTAGAAGAAACCCAATTGAAATAACGAATGATATTTTCCGTCATGTCTTCGTTTCTTCTTTTTGGTAGTATTTAATAGTTTAAAGTTAATAATCCATCAATAAACGTGTTTTATTAAATTACCCCATTAATTTTCGTCTATTTATAGTTCTCCCACCGATTATGGTTCCTCGTACAGTTAACAATGGGGCTTCGGGAATCAATAACGACAACAACACACATCGTGGTGTGACAGAATCATCTACTGAACGTTATGGAAGAGGTTCATCTTTTGGTCCACATCATTCTCGATACTCCTCTATGCACAATCAGTATCAACAAGGACTTCAACAACAGCATCATTTAAACGCTTTACAGAGTCATCATCCTTCCACTGCTGGTTTAAATGATTCTATGATTATGGGAGATGATTGTAGTTCAGAACCAAATAGTTTAGCTGCCCTCCTAGCTCCTCCGTCTAAGCAACCCAGACAACATCTTGCTACAGATGCTGTAACAGCTGCTGCTCTAGCCAGAGGTGATGCACTTGACGCGTATACTGTAGCGAGTCGAGCAATAGCTGGTTTAGAAAATGTTGGAAATGTACTCGGTGGAACGCATCCACCGTGTGTAAGTCTTCGAGAGGTAACTCGTTTACTTAATTTTAAATACTCACTTATATTTGCAAATAGTTTATTACCCCCATGGTTTCGGCAAGTTTTATTTGTCTCCTTGATAGTTGCTTAGATATTTACTTATCAACATCGGTATGACGCCATGCATGTGGGTATTAATTTCAGCAAAATACAAATATGTGTGTGTGGGAAAAAACTAGTGTTATAAATTTAATTCTTCTAACTGATGTGATAGTACCACATTACTAATGTAAATTTCAGTATGATTGTTTAATATAATCTTATTATAACCGGCTGAAAATTTGGAATTTGATTTTAGTGGTCATATTTACACCTTGTGTGTTCATAGAAGTACTTGCTTATTGGCATGGTTGCGAACTTCCGCTAGTCAAATTGACTGAACTTGTACCTATGTGCGCTAAATCACCATCTATGTATAAACATTCGTATTATTGTAAATCATCTACAGGTTTCTGTACTCGGTTTCAAGTCTCATTATCTACGTGAGGAATAACAATACTGTTCGACTGTTGTAACTTATATACGTGACGAAGGATTTGAACCTGTAACTTTATATGATTATTAATTGTTTATAAAATCACCACTTTATCAACAAATTTGAATTAATGACACAAAGTAACTTATAACGATGTACCGAAGAGCAATCGAGATTTTTAGGTTACTCTGAAATTATTAGTACATCATCCGCAACATCCAAAAAGAACGTTTCTGCACATGATGAGTTTTGATTTCATCACCGACTCATTGGTAACGTAATATGACCTTATATGAAGGTTTATTGGTTCAAGTTACTACAGATTCACATTAGGGCAGTAATGGCAAGCACTAGAAATAGTTGTTTCAATGGTAGTAATAAACAAAAAATAGAAAGACGAGTGTAACCGAATAATAAGAAGTATAAAATAATTTCCATGATGCCCTCGTACAGCCAAGGGTGGGGAGAACCAGATCTCTCTCTCTCGAAATCCTCACATGGCCACGTGTATACAACCGCTGTCAGGGAAGTCCTACTCACTGCCTTCTCGCAGCGGGAGTGCTGTTTACGAAATCGAGAGGATGGAAAGCGAGTGTCCGGCGCTTTAACCGGGTTAGTGGACACGGAGTTGCAAAACCCTGATTCTAAACCGATGGTGCACATGGGCTACAGGATCCTGAGGGAACAAAAGGCGTATGAACCCATTGTTTGTCACCGGCTACCATGAGACTGAATCTCCTTAACTTGCTTCACTGCCTTGTGGATTAGACGTCTAGGTCAAATACTGTGGATGTGTCTCCCTAAGAAAAGCGCCTGCTTCGGTTTGGCCACTCGGGCAGTATCGTAGCCCTCACACCTACCAATGATAACTACTACTGGCCTCACTATTATTGTGTGGCGCATATGTATTTGGTGCCCTCTTGTTCCATTGTCTATGTGTTTAAATAAATAAATAAAATAATGCTAAAACTCACTTTTAACAGAAATATAAGAAGTAAATAGATTTACTGCACCACTATGAATGATTTCGAATTTCGACACTCAAAATCGTCAACCGTATAATATGGTCGCCACCCAAGCTCCATCCAGAAAGTCAGCATCTCTCCATATGGAGTAGATCTGTGTTAAGTGACTTCTTCGGCTGACAATATATTACGGTACCCACCTTTAGTCTTTTTTATTAACCTACTCCTACGCTAGTTAAGATAACATATCGGCGTAAAGGGTGACTAAAAATGTTTAGTAGTTTCAACCACTTCAGTTAGTGAAGGTTTACTGTTTCATTAGTCAACCTACTTTTCCTATTCAGAAGGTTACATTTTGATTCTATAAGTAATCTAATGTAACTATTGAGTTTCTTTGATACATCCTGTAGACTAACTATTTGAAATTACGATAACTATGAAGGAATATATGTGTACAACAAACAATAATCATGGTAATTGTTCACCCTAAACTATTGAATCATATATTTAATCCCATATCTACAGGCTGCTGAAAATATGACTCTGGGTGGACCCCCTAATTTAGTTGGAACGCCCCCAGCTCCTCCTCACACAGGCTATCAATCGTCTCTTATGAATGTAGTGTCCAGTCTTAGCGGAGATGGTCGTGATTTCGCTCGCACTTTAGGTGTAGCAAATCACATTCACAATGCTACAACAAGGTTTGTTGTTTGGTTCTTTTTAATTCTAGAATGCTTACTTGTTTAATAAAATGATTCGACTTTTTTAAGTTATTCGTTTTTTGTTGTTACAAAATTATTTGAAATAGGATTTTGGCGAGATAGTGTCATGAAGATAGGAAAGAATTAATTTCTCAGACTTATTACAGAGGGTTGTTTTATTTTCCCCATATGTAGATGGTGGTAAATTTCACCTTATATCAGCAAAATATTCATCTGTCAGTTACAAACGCTGTAAGACCCTATACAAATGTATATCACTATATTTTTCATCCACACAGTGGGAGGAAAATTGACGAAATAAAAAACAGTGGAACGAAGTAGTATCAATAAAATAACAGTCAGTCAATCAGCTACAACTTAGTACCAACCACATATATGTATCCGTCCACGTTGCTATACCTCATTAGCATAACAAGATCAACACCGAATTCATAGAAGTAGTTAATTTAATGATGGTAACATATAAACGAAACATTGTGTATAAGAATATAATACAGGAAGAAAGACAGATATGAAGCGATTTTAATCTCACGGGAAGACAAAGAGTGTATACACCTACGCTATTGTGATCGATTCTGAGCCATGTCACCCAAAGTCTCCAACCATCGGCTACGATAGTCACGCGGACCCCAACCAGGTAGTCTGCATCTACCAACATGGCTCACACTAGAAGTTAGTGACTTCAAGCACTGATGCCACGTTTCGGTTTGACCGCCCCTAACTCTCTTCCAACCATCCCCAACACTAGTCAGCATTGCGCGTCATGGTAATCGGTGTTCAGACATACGTAAAATGTGACCCAACCATTTCAGTCGATGAAGATTCATGACCTCATCAACTGATTTACCATCATTCCCTAATACCCTGTGTCTAACCTCACTATTATTTACCCGGTGATCCCAGCAGATGCGAGCAATATTTCTAAGGCATCTGTGATCAAATACTAGTAACTTAGGAGTATCTTCTACTCTTAATGGCCATGTTTCACATTGGTAAAGTAGAACAGATCGAACTGCTGCACAGTATACTCGTCCCTTGATTGATAGACGGATATGTCGCCTTCGCCATACTAGAAGAAAACAACATCCCAACGATCTGTCATTTTCTGTCATACCTTGACTAAGATTAATCCATGAGTAGTGTTCTTTGTCGGTTTTTAATATGTAATGGGTGAACTCTGCATTTATTTTTCTTCTATTCCACTGACCAGTTGGTCAGGTCATTTGAGTAGACTCAATTTGAATCTTGTATTCCATATCGCAATAATAAATCTTATGAAAAAATTATAAATAATTTCTGTTCGTAATTTTTCGACTATGATTTTCATATACATTCATATGAACTTCCATTGAATAGTAATTCTATTGTGAAATAAACCGCATATTGTGTAGATCGGTCAATTTTAATGTAAAGCTATGGTATGTGGATAATATGTTATTTTTAAGTCAGTTTTCAATCATAAACAGTGTATGACGTAAGACAAGTTTATTGAATCGAAGTTTCCCATTTTCATATTAGCACAGAATGAAAAACTTAGAGGAAACTACAAACCCAAAAAACAAGTGTCAAAATAAAACAGTACGATAGTAAATAAAAACAAAACGTAGAAAATGTTATCCTAAAAGAACAAATGAAAGATAAAGTATAAAAATATTGAATTTGAAGATTAAACTTCAGATGAATAAAGCATCTACAACATGGTAACCAGTTTTGAGCCATGTCACTCATAATCTCCGTTTCATTCATTTTGTTCTAGATCATCAGAAATTCTAAATTCTTTACATACATTCTCAAGTTCGATAATGATTTGGAATAATGTTTTTTTTACCAAACGTTTTAATTCTTCCTCACAAACGAATCAGAATTTTAGTTCATACGATATGATTTTGATCTATCCACAATATTCTATAATTCTGTCAATTTACCCTAAGTTGTCCTCTGATCTCTTTGGTTCTTTTCAGTTCAACCAAGTTTAATTCTCCCTGACAAAGACTTATATTTTACTGAAGAAGTACAAAGTTGTCTCTTTTTTCAACAATCTAAACCGTTAATTATGCTTCCTGTGTAACCTCTATAATTATTATCTGAAGTTTTAGTTTTTTTTGCCTTAAAAAATATACCACTGAATTTTTCTAAATACCATTACTCTTTAGGTCACTTAGTATGAGTGATTATCCAATTCCTGTGTCTGCTTGCCAAGAAGATCGTTCTAACGATTCTCAATGCCTAGGTCCAAATGCTGATAATTTGAGTTCAAGTTTTATGGGTCAGTCATCATCAGTTTCCTCATCTACAACTCAGAAAGCTCCCAGTATTGCTGGTGCCGGCCCGTCAATAAACTCTCCTGGTACATTGTCATCGGTTGAAGAAAATTGTATTAGTGAAGATGACAATATGGATCTAGGTATGTATTCATGCGTATAGTTTGTTTGACAATAAGAATAAGTTTTAATATTTTTTTCACTCACTAACTTTTAATCATAAATCTTTTTCAGAAGTTTTTATGTAACTGGTATAAATTAATTTAACTTATTTATTACAGAGTACAAGTCTATGTATTCAGCTTTGAGTCACATTGTTCGTTTTTGAGAGCTAGCGATACTACTTAGCTGCCTAAACTAGAGAAGATGATGTAGAGGTTTCAATCTCTTATCTACTGATTGTGAAAGTGGAATGCTTTGACCATTAGATTACGCAGTGCTACACTACACCAGTAGTGTTATGAAACAAGATTATCTCGAATGGTGCTAGAGGTGTATGGTCGATAACCACTTTCTGCATCGTAGAGGAAAACTTTTCAATCTATTTCAAAAGGAAACTAGATTAGTAGTATTCTTGGCGACCTTGTAGCGCGGCTACAAAGTTCAAGGGGTCGTACATGGCTTTTTAAGAGTTCTTACTGTGTCAGTTCTGTACATTAAATGCCTTACCATCATTGATAGAAATTTGTGGAATAAGGTGAAGTGTGTCATTTCTTAACCTTTTATTTAAGCAGTAGTAGCTTTGAACTCATATATTATGTTTCCAATGGACGCTATTCAAGTCGAATAAACCGATTAAATATACTTATCTTACTTTTAAGTTACCAATATAATTTAATATTTGTATTTATGCTCAGAAACATCTAAATTATGCTTTGTTAATTAGTCCACTTATTTTATATCTATGTTGTCAAACAAACATAACTGAGCAACTGAAAAAAGCTCTCGATCAGAAAACAAAGTATGAAAACTTTCCCCTTTTGTCCTCATAACTGTTGAATACTATTGTTTATATATGGAGAGGTAGCTTATTGGTTAGGTCATTCAACTTACAACCACTCGTAGATTAAAGCCTCACTCTACCTATTCAGTTTAGATGGCCAAGCAGTGTCATCAGCCTTTATACATAAAGTGTAATGTAAAGCTGAGTACACGAATCTATACTTGGTCATACTAAATTTCTTTTGTTCACTGTAACCATGATATAGCAGTGAAAGGGTTCAACTTCAAACCATCAGGTTGTATGTCCAAACTGTGACTCAACTATTCTGATTCAGTTAGCCGAGTACATCAAAATTTATTTCGTTATTACTAAATTGTATTAAATAGTCTTTCACCCAACAAACATATCTTTATTTCTCAATTTCATAGTTCATAGGTGGTTAGTGAGTTATGTTTAATCGATATTTAGGTTACTTACAAAATGTCATCTTTCCATCCCATAATTAATTATGATTCATTCTGTCATAAAAATATCATTAAAAAGTACACTTGGTAGTTGTCATGTAGGTTTTCTGCAGTGTATTCACCTTTTTCCAGTGACTTGATTATTTTTTTAGCTTCCCTGGCCTTCTGTTATTATTATCCTCTACTCATAGATATGTCATAATACTATATAGTTCTGTTTTAATATTTAGATATTTATTATTATTATTATTATTATTATTATTATTATTGTGTTATTGCATATGTAATTAGTCCAGGCCACATGTTTATTTAGATGGGAGAGATATACATCGTGTGTAAATTCCTTTCATTGGCATAAGAGAATGTTAACGATGATGATGATTGAATTGTGTTGACCAGTAGAATTACAATTCAACTGTTTTGTTAGAAATCTATAGTCCATAAAACATGTGTACACGTATATATGTATATATATTTACTTGTTGGCATGTATGATCTAGTGATAAATGAAGTTAAACGGAAAGTTTACATTCTCTTTATCTATTGAGAATTTCAATTAATATCTAATAGTTTCATTAATGTGTACCAAAGTTTCTTGTCTGCGTATGTGTGTAGTCACTTTGTATAGATGACTTCAGTTATTATTTATGTAGATGTATATATTTTTAGGACATCAGTCAGTCAGCTACAACGTAGGACCAGGCACATATATGCATCGGTCCAAGTTGCCATACCTCTTTAGCACAACAAGATGAACACCGGATTCATAGAAGCAATTAATTTAGTGATGGTAGTATATAAAGAAAGATTGTATAGAAGGATATAGTACAGGAAGGAAGAGAGATATGAAGCAATTTTCATCTCAAGGTTTAAGGGAAGATAAAGAGTGTATACACCTACGCCATTGTGATCGATTCTGAGCCATGTCACCTAGAGTCTCCAACCATTTATTACGATAGTCACGCGGACCCCAACCAGGTAGTCTGCATCTGCCAACATGGCTCAGGCTAGAAGTTAGTAACTTCAAACACTGATGCCATGTTTTGGTTTGGCCGCCCCTAACTCTCTTCCAACCGTCCCCAATACTAGTCATCATAGCGCGTCGTGGTAATCGGTGTTCAGACATACGTAACACATGGCCCAACCATCTCAGTCGATGAAGATTTATCACCTCATCAACTGATTTACCATCGTTACCTAATACCCTGCGTCTAACCTCACTATTACTTACTCGGTGATCCCAGCAGATGCGTGCAATATTTCTAAGGCATCTGTGGTCAAATACTAGTAACCTACGAGTATCTTCTACTCTTAATGGCCATGTTTCGCAGCCGTAAAGTAGAACAGATCGAACTGCTGCGCAGTATACTCGCCCGCTAATTGATAGACGGATATCTCGTCTTCGCCATAGGTGACGTAAGTTGGCAAAAGCCAAACGAGCTTTTTGAATCCGTGCTGAGATTTCGTCAGACACCAACCCATTAGGGCTGATCAGACTTCCAAGATAAGTGAAGTTGTCAACGCGTTCGACTACTTCACTCCCTATCCTTAGTTCGAGTGTTGACGCAGGCCAGTCCTGGAGTAACAATTTACATTGAGATGGGGAGAATCGCATCCCAAACATCCTGGCATTATTACTCAGTTCCAACAGAAGACTCTGCATTTTGTCAGCATCTTCACCAAACAGGACTATGTCATCTGCGTATTCTAAGTCGCTTAGTGGTCCCCCTGGTAGGAGATCAATTCCTGTAAATTCAGTCGAAGAGAGTGTTATTTCCAGCAACAGGTCTATAATGAAGTTAAACAAAAATGGGGATAGTGGACAGCCTTGACGGACACCACTTGAGGTTGTAAAATCATATGACAGTTCACCATAAGCTCTCACTCGACTGATAGTGTTCGAGTAAAGAGCCTTCACAAGGTTTATGTACTTCTGAGGTACACCTTTCAATGACAGACACTGCCACAGAACCTCTCGGTCTACAGAGTCAAATGCTGCTTTCAAGTCAAGAAAAACTATCATTGTCGGACGCCGATAAGCATGTCTGTGCTCTAAAACTTGACGAATGGTGAATATGTGGTCGATACAGCCACGACCAGGTCTGAAGCCAGCCTGATTTTCTCGTGTTTGCAGTTCACGAGTTTTACTTAGGCGCCTGATAATTATTGAGGCTAGTATTTTAGATACTATGTTAGTCAGACTAATCCCTCTATGGTTATCACAGGATGATTTTGGCCCCTTCTTATATATTGGGACAATCAGTGATTGTGACCAGTCGGATGGGATTACATCCGTCTCCCAGATTTTAGCCAGAATATTAGTCAACCTAATCGCTAAAATTGGACCACCATATTTAAAGACCTCTGGAGCCAATCCATCAGGACCAGCTGCTCTTCCTCGTTTCAGATTACCTATAGCCTTTTGAACTTCAAGTAGGGTCGGGGGGCCTACTTCAATGTTCCATTCAGGTTTTCTAGGAATAGTGGGTAGTTGTGCAGTAGCTGAAGGCCAGCTAGGACATATTTCCAAGCTACGTATTTTCATAGTTGATAGTTTGGTGAAATATTTATTCATCATACAAACGCACACTGCCAAGGTGTCCCATACTAGAACGAGATTCCTGTACAGTGCTTCCAGGTTTTCAATGGTGGTCTGACTAAATTTGGTTCGTGATTTCGATGATACGTTGGGACATTTTAGTTTTGTTTGCTTATATGAAAAGTTCAAAAACTGGTGTAGTAATTACAGAAATACAATAGCATTCCAAAGAGCCATTAAAAACGTGAAAAGAAAGATTGTGCAGCTATTTTCATTTAATTTCACAACCTGCCCCCTTAATCTCTAAATAAATTCTATCTTCTAAGTGTGTGAATGTAAGGTCTGAGTTATTCCAGTAATTACATTTCAAGTTTATAGCGATTTACAGTTTGATGGAATGTAGAGTTCAGTATTACATCGTTGTGTTGTTTACACCAAATAGTTTACAATACTTAACACTGTCAATCATTTGATTCCGTACAGTTTCGATATTATGCAACAGTCCAGTTTATTTACCGTAAAAACACCCCTTGCAAATATTTATGTGACATTACATTTAAATTTCGTTGCAATAGAAAAAAAACAGTAATTGTATTTACATTATCCTTTCATATGGATTTTAAATCGTATTCTTGAACTGAGGTCTCTTCATTTAATCTTACTTGCATTAATTACGACCATAATTCTATCTTTCTTTATACTATTCATCATACGAATTTCACTGCGTTGTACTAATATGGTATGGCAACACATACTAACGCAAATTTTCTAGGCTATACGTTGATTAAGACTGACTTTATTTACGCGATTGGGGATAATTCCGAGTGGATTTAACTAGCGGATGTAAACGTAATGATTTCTATGATAATTAAGGTTGCTTACCTTTAAATAAAACCCTTCATTTTGTGATTTCGAATTACTTACAAATAGCATTATGAATGCATAATCTATTACACACCTTCCAATCTTATATTGAAATTTTTGTCGTAAGAACATTACGCTAGATGTGTAGACTTAACTTATTTAATCAATCACGTCATATTTCCTCTGGAACACAAACGAACGTAGCCAATAAACCCTTAAACAATTCTATTTCCTTTCCAGCTATCGATTTTTCACAAAACCAAAGATCAATTTCCATTAGAGATTAATGTTTTTTTTCTTTAACTAAATATAAAACAAAGTGTCCAGCAATGTTATTAGACAATTTAAAAACTACGTTACTTAGAAATTGAAATTAAGCAAAAATCAGAAAAGTTGAATGTGTTATATCTTGTGGTCGAGTCGATGCCCAGTTAATTTATGACGTGACAAAACCGCCAATCAGAGAGCAGCGAATTATCGATTGGAACAGTGACACACGAAAACCGTACGAGCAGTCTAGGGTGCTTATCAGTCCTGCTTCTACATAGCCCAGCCAGTCCAAAGTCCAAAACATCAATAACAGCCTCTGCGGTATAAATCATTGTTTGTCAAACATACCAAACAGACTGACCGGATCGTATTAATAAAATAAAAAATAACATTTGTACAAGATTCAGCCAAATGTGACTGTGAATGTGAAAGACAGTAATTCATAGACTAGGGATAACTCAAGAATGGTAAACCCTATAATAATAGTTTATCATTCAAATTAGTATTACCAATAAAAATTTTACAACATGAAGTTTAGAAACGAAATATTAATATTTCAAATTTCAGAAATGATGAGAATCATCAAATCAAATTTGTTATATCGATCGACTGCGTGCGTTCTTGCCCAGTTGATATATATGACGTTATAAGACCGCCAATTAGAGAGCAGTGAATTCTCCACGGGATACAACAAAATTGTATGTGATAGTTTGAGGGGGCGGGAGGAAACAATTTTATTCCAAGTTTATATTTTTCCTTGAAAGCAGTTGCTTGATAAGCTATTTTCTCATTTTCGTCTACGATGTATAATCTGAATAATTTTTAAGTAGATATTACTCTACATATATGTATTATTTTAACATAGCTTAGTAACAATTTCATTCTTTCCATTCTTCCTATTCATATAAAGTTCCTTATAGACTACAAAACATTTTTTCTCAATGAATCTTTCATTTGTTTTTCCTTTTCTTGATTTTATTTTTTTCCAGATATGTTAAGCGATGTTCTTATTGATGGGAATGAAATGACTTCAGTAGCTTATCAAGAACCTGAATATTGGTGTTCATTATATTATTATGAAATGAATACTCGTGTTGGAGATACATTTCATTGTTCTAGTCCATGTTTAACTGTTGACGGTTTCACCGATCCAAATAGACACAATCGTTTCTGTTTAGGTCTACTATCCAATGTGAATAGAGGACATCAGATTGAGCTAACAAGAAGGCATATTGGTAAGTTGATTATAATACTTTATATATTTGTATGTTTAAATACAACGTATTACTTAGTACTATAGAAGGCAGTGAGTAAGACTTCCCTGGCAGGGGCTATATGCGCGTTTATTATTAGTATTATAATTAATTAGAAATTTACTGTTAAAATTGAAACAAAACTATGAGTTAACCAATCCATAACATCACAGCCACGTATTAGTTCTTGTGACCAACACAAACGAAACAAGTAACGAGAAAATATAATATAATTATATATTACAAGAATAACTTAAACTTACCAATGAGTTAGTAGAGTAATGGCTCAATGATTAATGCGCTCGGTTTTGAACCACTAATTCCTAGATTCAAGCCCCGCACCACTTCGGTTTAGGCAACCGGATAAGTATCATTGGTCCCCATGTTCATGTACCAGGAGAATGAGTTAATTTTAATAAAACAGTGAGTGATTACAGGACAAAAGAAGTAGGTTATGATTAACGTAAATACCACAAATTTTCATTAGTTACACTTAAAGTTACAACCTACTAGTGTTTTCTAATACATGAATTTAAACATTTCTAATAATTTGATTAATGCAGTCGACATTATGCACTTGGTTAGTTGAACATCATAAATTCATAATCATTTTGTTATTGAAACCTTATTTCTGACAACGATACGGCTCAGTAGGCTATCCAGGTTAGGTAATTGAATCCAAAACTATGAGTATTTTATTCATTTGTAATGTTCATAGTCGGTTTTAAGAATTGTCACAATATCTTTATGCTTTAACTAGAACAAACAGTATTCTCGGTAGAGTCTCCTCTTGCAATAAAATTTTTTTGTAACAAACTGTAAATGTTTATTAATCTGTGAATACTTCTAGAGTAGGAATACATTTTCTTCAATCTTTAGTCATATTAAAACTTTACGAATAAATCTTGTAACATTGTTAATGGATCTTATATTCAATTTATCCTTGTATTTTGGTAGGTGTATATGGAGCTTGACTAACATTCATTCAAAATTCATTTACATGTTTATTCGAATATTTAAGATGTTCGGATTGTTTTTATGGATTAATGATTCAACATTTCAACTAATGTTCTCTTCTTGTTTGTTGATGTGTTTGGCTTTCGGGAGTTGTTTTTTTTTAATCTTCAACTGTTACGTTGATTTTTCTCACATTCAGTCGGTTGAATTCGATTTCATATAAAGAGATAACAACAAATAGTTAATTTGATGAATCTATTTTCAGCTTATTTCATCCTTATCTTTTTTTTGCCTCTCGCTTTTCTGTTTCTATAAAACAAAACAAAAGTTTTCTATTTCCCCATATCCAAAAAGTGAACTGGGTGGTGGGCAAAGATGGGAAATCAACATCCTGAAGCTAGTACTTACTGTTTCTATTGATTTTTTCTAACAGATCGATGAGGAGTGGAATGTGATTGAAAAAAAATATGTATATCAGTATAAATCGATTTACAGGTCAAACTTGCTATCCGGTGTATGTCCTTTAAAGTTAATGGTTGTATGTGTGTGTATATATATGTACATACACACGTGTGTGTATGTGCTAAGTGAATGAAGTCATTTATGATCGAAATAGTTAAGTGATAGAAAGTTTTCTAGGTTAAATAAAACAATAATGATAATCGTGTATTGTTGTTTCTTTTTTATGACATTTTTAATTGCTAAGCTAACTTTCCAATATCTGTTGTATATGTTATTTATGAATTATTAGTATGTATATTTATAACATAGTAACCAGTATCTTTTGTTACTTGTATTAATACATTTCTATTGATGATTTGGTTTCCATTTAAACTACATATAATATGAATTTCTTTTAAAGTTTACTCTTGGTTAGTAACTGTTATTATTGGTTAGTTTCTCCATCTCTAGTGACTATGTAATGAGTTTAAAATCTAATAAACAAAAGTTATTTCAGACGTATATATATATATATATATATATATATATATATATATATATATAGGTAGTTTGCCCTTCTGTCTTTATGAGATTATAAATACTAGTCAAAGTAATAAAAAATTAAGTCAAAGTTCATTATAATCATTTCACTCTTATCGAAATTACCTTGTTTAGATAATATATATTTCTACTAACTAGATTACTGTTTTACTGCATAAAATGTACTTGCCATAGATTTCTAAATATGAATGGTTAATATGGTAAAATAATGAGTCTTGGTTACTGTGATGTAATGAATGCTAGCGCTGTTTGGTAGTTGGAGTCGATCAGTAGGATGCCCTGTGTATAGATTTCATGCTAGTTGAAATTCCCTCAATAATTTTTGTTTGCACTCTTCAGGATCCGTATTAACCGTATTAACCAGCATCTCAATGAGATATGTTATCAATTAGCTATTCAGTCCTTTTATAGAAGTGAGTAGTAAATGGATTTCATATTATTTGTTCTGTAATACTGATCAAGTTCTGTGAATAAATTTAGGATGGATTCACTACTGTGAGTAATTTTACTTTATAATGCACAGTGAAATCACAGGTGATTTAAAAACTCTCAGAATGAGCTATTAGCACTACTCGGTCTTTATTATATAACATATTTACAACGTACAACTTCGTTTACGTGACTATCAACAGCATTTTTGTATATATTAGTGATTAATACTACCCCCTGTTCCTTAAGGTGAAATAGTTAGATCAGGATTCGAACTAATACGTAGCTGTGATGTTGTGGATTGGTTAACTGATAGTTTTGTTTCAAGTTTAACAATAAATTTCTAATTAATTATAATAGTAATAATAAACGCGCATATAGTTTTATTATAAATAAAATCTTACAAAAGATTTCATATTTGACTACATTCGATTTCTTTCATTCCATAATACCAGGGGTATTCATTTTCAATATTACTATTGGGATAGATTTATATGAATATTCCATATCGGTTGGTGAGTGTAGTCGGTCGATAAATTATGACTTTTTTTCATGTTAATTGTTCCTTGTCTTATTCGCTACTATCTTTTCTTTTTTGAAACTAGGTAAAGGTGTTAAACTTTATTATATTGGCGGTGAAGTGTTTGCAGAATGTTTAAGTGACAGTGCTATATTTGTTCAATCTCCTAATTGCAATTATATGTATAAATGGCATCCAGCAACTGTATGTAAAATTCCGCCTGGATGTAATTTAAAAATATTCAATAATCAAGAATTCGCCAATCTTCTTACAGAGAATGTAACTAAAGGTTTTGAAGCTGTTTATTCACTAACAAATATGTGTACTATACGAATGAGTTTTGTCAAAGGATGGGGTGCTGATTATCGGTATGTTCAGTATCCTTTACAATATTATCCAATATTCAAGAGACTTTACATGAGATATATTTTATGTATGAAATTAGTTGGTAATATTTGACCAGATCATATCTGATACCCGTGATATGGTAGTGATTTCACCTGTCATGATAATTCAGCAGGGCTATTTTGGCTGAAAATCTTGTCCCTTCAAGTTTTTTTCATGCTGGGTAAGCTGATAGGAGGGTACCATTTCTAAACGGAACCGATTTAGGGTTCAATAATGATATCATACTCCTGGTCATACTGATGTATGGAAGCTGTAAAGTATTCCTTATCATATTAAGTGTTGTTTCCCTCTCACATTTATTTATTTAAACACATAAATATTGGTACAAAGGGGCACCAGATACATAGTAGACAATATGGTAACTATATTGATTATTTTATTTTCATTAACTAAATTCCTCTATCGTTGACTAGCCGAACTTCATGATCAAATCCAAATATATGTACTAAACTACACTTCTTTGAGGACAGGTAGTTTACTTACTTACTAAGTAATTGATTCCGTAAGCACTATTCAAGTTGAAAACGAATCTTCCGGTATACAATCATTACTTTTCTTGAGTCGTTGATCACATCTACGTATTTTTTTAGTGTCCAATGTTGTAATTTAAAGGAAAATTTTGGTGAAAATGCCATACGTTGTACAAAGTTAATGAGTTTTGAGATAGGAAAAATCATATTTAAAAATAATCAGCTTAGTTTATAATATCTACCTACAGTTACACCGACTAGTTTCCTTCGTTATTCAAAGGTTTATTCTCTTGTCCTTGATAATGTTTTATCCCTTCTCTACTAACTTACCTTCTGTGTGTGTGGCGTCACTATTTTGTATGTATCCTCCTACCGTCTTACGTATTTTTTTCCTTATTTTCAGCCGACAAACTGTAACTAGCACTCCATGTTGGATTGAAATTCATTTAAATGGACCTCTACAATGGCTTGATCGTGTCCTTAGTCAAATGGGCTCCCCAGATCATCCTTGCACATCTGTCAGTTGAACTAATGAATCTATCCATTATTTATGGATTATTATTATAATAACTGTTAATGTTCAGGATAAATTATCTCTTGTCAATAGTATCTTTTCCGACGTCTTTCGAATACCTCCTAAATAAAAATCAAATCAATTATTGCATACTTATTAATATTATTGTTATTCCTTTCACTGAATTTCTGGCCACCGACGACACTCCTAACTTTAACTCAAGTTCAATTTATCCTCAATTACAGTTCTATGTTGTCACTTGATTATTATATCACTATTATTTTAAACGTTTTAATCCTTCTGAATGCAGTTATATAATGTTAGATTAATACCATATATTCATAATGACAATTTGACATTGATTATGTATTTCATTATCTCCCTCTTCAACCTACTCCCTCCCCAATGTCAACCATTTTCTTCTCTTCCGTTTTTATTTTGAGGACGTAAGCAAGATATTCTTCGCCACTGTCTTACTCATTATTATTGTCTTTTTTTACTCCTGTGTAGTTAATCATTCCATGTTGTTTGTAGGCTCTCTCGCTACCCTGCTTATTCAATACTGCCTTCCTTCCTCTTTGGTTTTTTGTAACACGAGGTACTTTATTTATTTCGTTTTATGTCAGTAATGATTTTCAGACGAATAGCTCTTGTCGTTATTGTTACTGTCATTGTCATTTTATTTGTATCATACTTCCTCTGTTGAGAACAATGTCTTGCACAATAGTTTTGTTTTTCACGAGAACACATTAATTGTATCCGTTTAACCTTTGTCCATTATCGACAGTACCACCCTCTTCATTATATTTGTTAGCAGATGTACATGTTTTAAATGGTTGATTGAAAATTGTCTCTTTTTTTTAAGGAAATTCTTTTGTTTCGTCAATAGTGAGCGCCGTAATTTTCCGCTGGTTTTTTTTTGTATACTACTGAATATCGTCACTATTATTATTATTATCATTGTTGTTACTATTAATGTATGCTTATTTTATCTTTAACAACTACCTGGTTAGTGGTGGTCTGTTTCACATGGTTTTCTGTATGATATATATATATATATACGTATAATCTATAACCCATTCATTAATTATTATAAACTTTTCCTGTTGAAATTCAGCATTTTTTAGTTGGGAATCAACTGCCATGACGATTCTATGTGACGTTGTCGGGTTTTCTCTTTTTTCCAGAGATGTTGATGATGGTGTTGGTCATCTCTTTTTTTTCTTTGTTATCATTATCTTTGTCTTTTTTTAAATTTATGTATGTCTAATGCGTAGTGAACTGTCACCGATATGTTTGCTTGTTTTCAGATCTCCTTTTAATCAGTGGAGGCGGCAGTCGGTAATAATAATAAATATTATCCAGTGTTTGTAATTACTTTAGCCCGATGTTTTGTTAAATATTTTTATTGTCCTATGACTTAAAAAAACTCTTATACATAAGTAAGACAAGTCATTTTGGCTCATATATAAATATATTAACCTGGTTTCAGTTAACTATTTTCCTTTTCAACTTGATAATAAATATAACATTGGAAAATAAATTTAAAATAGTCTATTAGGTTGTATTATATGAGTAGCTTTTGTGTCAGTGTATTACTCTATTCTCTCCCTCTCTCTCTCTATATATATATATTCCTCATTGATACTTCTCTGTCAATATATGGTTACCTTTGGTGTTATATTTCATGGCTATTGGTTTCATTTATACAAATGTTCGTGATGGAAAATAACTTGTTACTTAGATAGACATCAGCTGTTTTTTTATGATTCAGCATACTTGTATCATTTGATTTTCATTATATATACAGTAATTCTTAAGAAATTTTCATTTTAAACATCAGAATTACTTTTTCACATCATTTATGTTAGTTGTCTATCAGTTGAAAATTGACCAAGTTTAATTTTGTCTAAATAATGACATATATTCAATTGGAACAAACATGCTGGTTCTCAAACAGGTTAAAACTACAATAACGGTTAGGACACTGGCGACAGTCTTATAGTTCAAATTAAAGTAACTAATAGTTATGTTTCTTATTGTAAATGTGCTCTGAATTCAGTGTGTCTCACAAATCGAGATACCTTATATCTTACATTATATTCATTACAAGTAGAACTGTTCAAATAATTTAAAGTTATCGCTAATGAGGAACTAGAGAACGCATGGTAAATTCTTTGATTGTTTAAGTGAACATGATTTAGTGTGAAGTCAATGATAGTTTAATAACAGCTGACGTCTGTAACTCATTGGTCACGATAGTGATTGTTTTCTTTCATCTACTGTTTTAAAAAATATTAGAAAAATGTAAGTCAATAAGATTCCTCAATGTAGAAGAATTGTTTCCGTCAGTTCTATTTCAGTCAGTCAGCTACAACGTAGGACCAGGCACATTTATGCATCGGTCCAAGTTACCATACCTCGTTAGCACAACAAGATGAACACCGGGTTCATAGAAGTAATTAATTTAGTGGTGGTAGTAGTATATAAATTATAGGTTGTATATAAGGATATAGTACAGGAAGGAAGAGAGATATGAAGCAATTTTAGTTTCAAGGTTTAAAGGAAGATAAAGAGTGTATACACCTACGCCATTGTGATCGGTTCTGAGCCATGTCACCTAGAATTTCCAACCATTGGTTACGATAGTCACGCGGACCCCAACCAAGTAGTCTGCATCTACCAACATGGCTCACACTAGAAGTTAGTGACTTCAAGCACTGATGCCACGTTTCGGTTTGACCGCCCCTAACTCTCTTCCAACCATCCCCAACACTAGTCAGCATAGCGCGTCATGGTAATCGGTGTTCAGACATACGTAACATGTGACCCAACCATCTCAGTCGATGAAGATTCATCAACTGATTTACCATCGTTCCCTAATACCCTGCATCTAACCTCACTATTACTTACCCGGTGATCCCAGCAGATGCGAGCAATATTTCTAAGGCATCTGTGATCAAATACTAGTAACTTACGAGTATCTTCTACTCTTAATGGCCATGTTTCGCAGCCGTAAAGTAGAACAGATCGAACTGCTGCACAGTATACTCGTCCCTTGATTGATAGACGGATATCTCGTCTTCGCCATAGGTGACGTAAGTTGGCAAAAGCCAAACGAGCTTTTCGAGTCCGTGCTGAGATTTCGTCAGACACCAACCCATTAAGGCTGATCAGACTTCAGAGATAAGTGAAGTTGTCAACGCGTTCGACTACTTCACTCCCTATCCTTAGTTCAGGTGTTGATGCAGGCCAGTCCTGGGGTAACAATTTACATTTGGATGGGGAGAATCGCATCCCAAACATCCTGGCATTATTACTCAGTTCCAACAGAAGACTCTGCATTTTGTCAGCATCTTCACCAAACAGGACTATGTCATCTGCGTATTCTAAGTCGCTTAGTGGTCCCCCTAGTAGGAGATCAATTCCTGTAAATTCAGTCGAAGAGAGTGTTATTTCCAGCAACAGGTCTATAATGAAGTTAAACAAAAATGGGGATAGTGGACAACCTTGACGGACACCACTTGAGGTTGTAAAATCATATGACAGTTCGCCATAAGCTCTCACTCGACTGGTAGTGTTCGAGTAAAGAGCCTTCACAAGGTTTATGTACTTCTGAGGTACACCTTTCAATGACAGACACTGCCACAGAACCTCTCGGTCTACAGAGTCAAATGCTGCTTTCAAGTTAAGAAAAACTATCATTGTCGGACGCCGATAAGCGTGTCTGTGCTCTAAAACTTGACGAATGGTGAATATGTGGTCGATACAGCCACGACCAGGTCTGAAGCCAGCCTGATTTTCTCGTGTTTGCAGTTCACGAGTCTTAGTTAGGCGCCCGATAATTATTGAGGCTAGTATTTTAGATACTATGTTGGTCAGACTAATCCCTCTATGGTTATCACAGGATGATTTTGACCCCTTTTTATATATTGGGACAATCAGTGATTGTGACCAGTCGGATGGGATTACATCCGTCTCCCAGATTTTAGCCAGAATATTAGTCAACCTAATCGCTAAAATCGGACCACCATATTTAAAGACCTCTGGAGCCAATCCATCAGGACCAGCTGCTCTTCCTCGTTTCAGATTACCTATAGCCTTTTGAACTTCAAGTAGGGTCGGGGGGCCTACTTCAATGTTCCATTCAAGTTTTCTAGGAATAGTGGGTAGTTGTGCAGTAGCTGAAGGCCAGCTAAACTGCTCCTTAAAGTGTTCCGCCCATCGTTCTAAACGTTTGGGTTGAGAGCAGTTAAGGGTTCCGTCTTTTTCGGAGATTGTCTCACTTACACTTGACTTCTTAGTTCCGGTTTCTTTTATTAGTCTGAATAGTTGCCTGGTGTTCCCTACAGCCGCTGCCTTTTCCATCTCTTTTGCTTTCGTTGCCCACCACTGCTCACGATCGTTCCTTAGACTTTTAGTTAACCTAGATCTAATTTCTTTACGCTCTTCGTCATGTTCAGAGCCTGATGGGATGAGTTTACGCGAATCCATCAGTGAAATAGACTTAGAAGAAATCCATTGGTTTTTTGGAGCCCTATGGTTTAAATGACTAATAGATGTAACTGCTGTTTCCACAGCTGTTCGTATGTCTTTCCAAGCAGCATCTGTGTCAGTCTTGTTTACAGAACTGCCTAGATGTGAACTCAGTTGTTTCTGGAATTCGCATTTGGCTTTCTCGTCCTCCAGTTCAATCCTAATGGGTCTTCTTAGTGTACTATTCCTGCATCCATTGAGGCGCAGACAAATGCGCGCTCGTATTAAAGCGTGATCAGAGTCTAAACAAGTATTCCAATACGAGCGACAATCTTCTATTGAGCCTCTCCAACGATGACTGATGACAATATGGTCTATTTGAGTCCATCGTTGGTTTGGTGCAGGTGGTCGCCATGTTAGACGATGTCTCTCCTTATGTTTAAAATTAGTGCTTGCTAAAAATAAACGATTGTCTGAGCATAGTTGCAATAGACGATCACCATTATCGGTTCGTTGAACCGGAATACTAAAATACCCACCTAAATGTCTTTCTGTTTGGTTTAAGCTACCGACTTGGGAATTAAAGTGACCTGCTACGAGTAGTATGTCTGAGCGCTGAGCTTTCTGAAGAAGCTCAGAGAGCTTTCTGTAAAAGTCATCTTTCACTTCATCATGGCTGCAGTCGGTGGGAGCGTAGGCAGAAATGACGAAAAGGCAACGACGTGTGTCCCTATCCTTCCGAGTTCTTACGGAGCCATTCAGCCGGACAGCACACAGGCAACTGTCAAAAGGGATCCATTCTAGTAGTGCCTGTTCTGCCCTTGTACTAAGTGCTATGCCTACACCTGCAAGTCCGCGAGAACTAGCCAACGGGTCGCCAGATACACGGAGAGTGTATTTCGTTGGCTGTCCATTTTGGCGAGGTGAGGTCAAGTGAATGACCACACTGGGATCCTGTATGCGTGTTTCGGAGACACAGCATACATCAATGGTACGAGATTCTAGGGTTTTAGCTAAGGAGGCCTGTTGACCTATTTGGCATAGGGTACGTACGTTGAAGGCTCCGATGAGTAGTTTGGAGCGAGGTTTAAGTAGACCTGGGACAGCGTTCCGCGCACTAGAATCGTTGGCCATGGTGACACTTGAGGAGGAAACCGGAACAGAAAGTTTAGCGTTGAAAGTCAAGGTAGAAGGAATAGTAGGAATTGAAGGAGATTGATTATGAATACGGTGGTCTTGAGTGCTGTTAGAGGTATGAGGGCAGTTATCACTTCCCGGTTGCCCACACCGTGGAAGGGTTCTCCTGGGGGTACCTGAAAAGGAAATTGGGTTAGAAGTGGTCTTAATGACCTGAGAGCGTGACCGCAGTGCCCAAGGGACAACTGCTTTAGGTCGGTCACACACGACCTTTTTTTGGGAGATTTTTGACGTGTTAGCTCCGTTCTTCAAAAAAAACCTTACCACCGGAGACGGAAATCCGTGGGATAAGGCGAGGTGTGCATTTTTAGGGTCGACCTTTTCTAACCCCACCCCTCCTTGTGGGAAGGCAGCATCGCTGTCATGCTGGTTGTCTGAAGGAAACACCTTACTGCTGTCACACCTCTGTACAGTCGACAGTACGACTTCGCCTTCGGACCGTGGGTTTGCTGCTTTTAGTCTCACCGCTCTTCAACCGACCTGTCTGGCATGGTAGGACCTTGAGGAACGATTGTTCCAGCCAGCATAGCTCGATTGCTTCATCACGATAGGCAAGCCCGACCACCACGTCAAGGTAGCAGCAACGGTCGGGGTCAGTTCTATTTGAACAAAATTGAAAACTGGATAAACAAACTAAGCACAATAGAAAGTTTTTTACTGGTTACCTTATTTATACTGACAATTATCATGTCTTCACTAATGACTAACTTCGAGAGGGAATTCTTGGAGTTCTGGTGAGAAGCTGTGACCATTGAAGTCGGGTAATATGAGATAGCGGTGCAATATTGTGGATTGGTTGAAGTTACACATTAACACCTTTGAATGCTAGATTAACGGTCAGAATGTTATGTGTTCGCTTGAGATCGAAGTTAGTTTATTGGATTCCCGATTGAGGGTATATGAATATGTAGTGCTGAGGAGTTCCATACTAAGACGAAACGGTCTTCCAGGTTCCCCATGGTCGTTTAACATAGATCGATTCATGATTTCAGCCAAATCCAACAATTTACGCAGTGATTTATTTAGGTTAATGATATATTTTTATTTTCGTCATCAATGCCTGCTGTTCATTTTTCTTGAGTTAGGTACATACTGTTCTCCAGGTTTTATCTTTTCATCCTTAGTAAAGTTGAACCGTACCGCCGGACGACCTAGCGATATCTGTCCACTTGACAAAACACGATATTCTTTCATACATATCGTTACAAAATATTCTAATATTACAGCTTATATTTAAATTATGATCTCAAAATGATTTACAC